TGTCCCTGATGTTCCCAGGTGTTGCCAGCACTGGCTTTGATGTCCCCAAGTGTCCCCACTGCTGTCTGTAATGTCCCCAGCTCTGTCCAGGTGTACTCCAACCTGTCCCCAGTGTCCCCAGCCCTGGCCCTGGTGTCCCTAACCCTGTTCCTGACGTCCCCACGTGTCCCCAGCCCTGTTCCTGATGTCCCCACTTGTCCACAGTCCTGGTCCCGGTGTCTCTGGATGTCCCCAGCCCTGTCCCAAACATTCCCAGGTGTCCCTCACCCTGTCCCTGATGTCCCCAGGTGTCCCCAGTGCTGTCCCAAATGTCCCCAGGTGTCCCAAATGCTGCCCAGGTGTCCCCAGCCCTGTCCCCAGGTGTGGCCCAGACCAGTACAGACACGGATGGGACACTGGGGGACACTGGGAGCCCCTCCCAGCCCCAGATCACCCCGAGAATGCAGATCCTGGGCAGGAGGGGCTGATTGCTGTGGGAATTCTGTCATTCCAAGCTGGGAATTCTGTCACTCCAGGCTGGGAATACAGGTGGGAATTCTGTCATTCCAGGACAGGAATATGGGTGGGAATTATGTCACTCCAGACTGGGAAAACAGGCTGGGAATTTTGTCATTCCAGGCTGGAAATACAGGTGGGAATTTGTCATTTCAGGCCAGGAATACAGCCGGAAATTTTGTCACTCCAAGCTGGGAATTCTGTCACTCCAGGTTGGGAATACAGGTGGGAATTCTGTCATTCCAGGCTGGGAATACAGGCTGGGAATTTTGTCATTCCAAGCTGGGAATTCTGTCACTCCAGGCTGGGAATACAGGTGGGAATTTTATCATTCCAGGCTCAGAAATGCCCTTGTGTTACTTTTAGGCAAAGAGTAAATTTGGATTATTAGGCAAAGAGGAAAAACTCTTGGCTACTCGGACTAATGAAAACAACATGTTCACAGAAAAAAATGCATATCTTTAAAAATATTATTGTGTCTGAACATGGCTTTGAGCATGTGAGTTATGTGACACGATACATTTTGGGGGAAGTTACAGAAGAGGAGAATAAAAGAAATGCGGGGTAGGAGACAAATTCTCAAATCATTAATTTTACTGCGATGCGGCCAAAAGGGGGAAACGCAACTTTGGAAAATTGGGAATTGAAAATATCAAACTTTTGGAGGTTGAGGGAAATCTTTATTTTTCACTTTTCTCTCCTCACAGAGGTTAAAAATCAAAAAAATATTAGCTTTAGCTCAGAAGCAGGACAACTTGAGGATTGTTTGGGGCTGTTCTCCCCTACTCCAGTTGCATTCCAGTATTTTGTTTTGGAAATGGAGAGAAAAAATGAAGATTCAATTTTAATTTAAATGTTAAGATTTAATTTTTAAGATCTGAGTGCTGCCATGACTGCCACAGCTGGAGCCACTGCGAGCACCTCTGGAAATGACTGAGTGTTGACAAAGGCTTTTTTTGGCAATAAACCATCAGCCGAGCTTCGGGAGCAGAGAGGAACAAAATTTCACTACATGTAAATAATAGCCTAAAAATAGAAGCGCAGATTGTTTTCCTCATTAAGTTCCTTCTCCATCCTTCAGTATATTCTGCACTGAAAAGGGAGTGATTATCAAAAAGCCCAAACTGAAAAAAAAATAAATGAAGAGCCTGGGCGAGGTTTAGCTGTAAAAAACACCAGCAGGAGCATTTTAAACCTGATTTTCTGTATCCCCTTTTTTTAGTTCGCTTCCTTATTTTAATGCAGCCGAAGCCATTCTGGGGCTGTTTTATTTAAAGGCAGTTTTGAGAGAGGACGCTGTGGTTTATGGCCACGTGTCAAGTTTGATAGTGTTGTGCCATGATTTAGCAAAACACTGGGAGCACATGTCCACATCCCACTGAATTTGGTAGGAAGTGGAGAAGCAGAGGAAAAGCTGTTTGGCTGTGCAGCAGCCTCATTCAGGGGGAAAAAAAATCAAAAGTAATTGAAACAAAGCAAGGATTTTTCTCCACACAATTACAGAGCTTTAAGGCCGGATTCTTTCAGCTCTCCATGAACTCATTGATCATGTTAGATGACGATTACATGTATTTAATAATTTCAAATTTCAAATTGCACTGGGCTGCCTCAGACCACTGAAATAGACGGGCTAATTCTGGGAGCCGTGGGCGTGCTGGAGTCATCTGATTTTATTTTTTTTTAGCTGTCTCACCGAGCACCCTGCCCCCTCCCCAAAGCAACCTTTCAGACTCGCAGAGAAACCTTCATTACACGCAGGATTGTCGGAGTGGGCTCGTCAGCCTCCTCTAATTGCTGCTCGTTTTCTGAGCGTGGCAGAATCCAGGAGAGCAGGGCCAGGATGGAGTTGGGATGAAGAAAGAGAGGTGTCAGCCAGCAGCTCCCCCGATCTTCTGCCAGTCTGGAGGATATTTCTGGGTGAAACGCTTGGAAATGGAAAGTTTGGAAAGAGATATGAGTTGTTTGCTTTGCTTGGCTTATCAGGACTTTATATATGCTCACCATAAACATGAGGCCATCAAAAATCTGCTTATTGAGCACATATAATTTATATGTATGTTCATATATTTATTTATAGATGTTAATATAATTTATATAGCTTCTTTTTCTATGTTAAGTGTATGTGACCTGTCCACCTTGGTCAAAATCCATAGTTTTGTCCTGGATTGATGGAATGTGACACATCCTGATATCATTCCATTCTCATCCCTGCTTACCAGGAGTTATTTTCCTCAGGACTGCACATAAATATTCTTACAATAAACAGCATTGTAGCAAAAAACTCCTTCAACACTTTTGACACCTCTCTCCCATTCTTCCCTTATCACAAACTACCAAATTTTAAATCCTGGGTAACCCTCCAAGTCAAATGTTACAAATTTTGATTCTGTAATTACCACTTGTGGTTATCTTACCCCAGGTTCCCTGCACGCCTTGTTTGAATCTGCAGAGTTGGGACATGAAAGCTTTATTTTATTTTCAGTGCCCATCATCTAAGTGCTTTGGGAATGGAGGATGATGGATTTTACGGCAGCTATGGAAAAATTGGAAATTTTGTCTTCTTTGTTCCGTTCTGTGCATTAAGGTGAAGGCCAAGGAAAGAAATTGTCATGGTGATCTATATTTAGGGAATAACACAGGTAGAAAGAAGCTGAATCAACATTTAATCCACACAAATTCACAACTGATGCATCATCTTGCCAGGCAGGATTTTGGTAGGTATTTTCCCCTCTGGCTTGCTGTTGGAAGAACACAAATTTCATTCAAAATTGACATGAAATGGGTGCATTTAGACCCAAACTCTGCTGTTTGGGACTCCTAAAACACCTGTACTGCTGTTCCTCGAGAACAGGAAATCCCAGGCGAGCTCATGATGATTCCTGAACTCTGTGCAGTGGCCCTGGGAAATAAAACATAAAATTCCCCAAAATAAAACTTGTAATTTCCAAAAAACTCATAATTTCCAGTTTGGTGCACACCAGGAGCCGGAGGTTCTGCCAGTGCCCGCTGAGGTACCCCGGCCTCATCCCTTTCCACTCCTGGAGGTCTCAAACCCGCGGATTAAGTAGCAAGAATCTGTGAAAAATGCATATTTTATGATTGGCTTTTTGCAAATGTTACAATGAATATTATATGTGTAATGTTACAATGAATGATATATGCGTTAGAAAGTTCTGCTGTATTAAATCTCTTAAGTAGCGTGTTAAATACAGTTTTAGGTTACAACGTAATGTTAAAATAGAAACTCTGCGATATAGGATTTGTTACAAGCTCAAGCAGGAAGATGAGATAATTAAGAAACTCTTCACACAGAGATGTCAGCGAAGGGGGCCCATAAAAAGTTCCTCCTTATCAGAAAAAACAAACATTCTTCCACCTTCTCTCCATCTTTGTAGAACAAACAAGATTAAGGAGAAGTTAACAAAAACCAGAAAAGTTCTTAATTTGTAAGGAATTTATGCATCATGTATGAAATACATGAATATGCAACAGGCTGTTGATTTAAGGTTATTCCTTTGTTCACAAAGTCTGCTTTTTCATGACTTAGTGTCCGAGAGCATCCAGATGTCCATAATTCTTCGCTGTTTATTGTCTTGCAGTTGTCCTAACTCTAAATTTTATTAAGTCTTATTACTGTTTTCATAATCATTTTATTATTACTAAAGTTCTAAACGATTTTAAAAAACAAGCGATTGGCATTTTTCACATTCTAATGATATTACTATTTTTATAATCATTTTATTATTACTATACTTAAAAAAAAAATTTAAAAACCAAGCGATTGGCGTTTTTCACACTCTAATGATATTACTATTTTTATAATCATGTTATTATTATTAAACTTTTAAAAAAATTAAAAAACCAGGTGATTGGCGTTTTGCACACTCTAATCATAGTACTAATTTAATAATAATTTTATTATTACTAAAGTTCTAAAAGATCTTAACAACCAAGTGATTGGCGTTTTTCACACTCTAATCATATTACTAATTTAATAATAATTTTATTATTATTAAACCTTTAAAAAATTTTAAAATCCAAGTGATTGGCGTTTTTCACACTCTAATTATATTACTATTTTCATAATCATTTTATTATTACTAAACTTCTAAATATTTTAGAAACCAAGCGATCGGCGTTTTTTCCACACATCGGAGCTGCAAAATCCCATTTTAATAATTTATTTATTACAGGAGGAACGCGCATCCAGCGCTGCCCCGCGGCGGCGCGGGGCTGAGGGGAGCAGCCGGGGCGCCCTGAGGGACGCGCTCCCCTCACGGAGCGGCGCCAAACTACGGGCAGGGCGAAACTCTACGGGCAAAGCGAAACTCTACCGGCACGGCGGCCCCACACGGCATCACCGGGGCGGCTCGGGAGCTGTACCGGGAGCCGGAGGGGTGCGACAGCCCCGGGATGAGGGCGCGGAGCGGCGGGGCCGGCGCGGCTGAGGAGGCACAAAATGGCGCCGCGATTCAAACGCTGCGCGCTGCGGGCGGGCGGGGCGGCGGCGGGGGGGGGCGGTGTCCCGGCGGGGTTCACTGCGCCTGCGCGCAGAGTCGCAAGATGGCGGACAGTGCGGAACTAAAGGTAAAGCGCAGCTCCGCGTCCCCCCGCGGCGCCGCCGGGGCCGCGGTCGGGAGCGGCCCGCGGCGGGATGAGCCCCGCCGGAGCGGCCGCGCCGGAGCCGCGCTGGCAGCGCGGGGTGAGAGGCGGGGTGGGTGCGGAGCGGAGCGCGGAGCTGCCTGCTCTCGCCGCCCCCCCTCCGCCGGCCGCGCTCCGCCGGGCGGCCCCGCCGGCAGCCGGGGCAGCGCGGGCGGCTCCGCTCCGCGCCCGCCGGGTCGGGCGGCGCCGCCGCGGGTGAGGGCGGCGGCCGCGGGGAGCCCCCGCGGGGTGTGGGGGACAGCGGGGGGACGGAGCCGCGGCGCCCCGCGAAGTTTGCGAGGGGAGTCCGGCGGGAGCGACCCCCGGCAGCGGCGGTGACAGCGGGGGCAGCGCGGCGGGGAGGGCGGCCGGCCGCCCCGCCGGTAAATAAAGAACGTCACAGGCAGATGTGGAGGAGTTCCGCGGTGCTGAGCTGGCGGCGGTCCCTGTCATCCTGCGGAACGCGGGGGGACGGGGCGCTCCGAGCCGCCGCGCTGCCCCGCCGGGGGTCGCCGCGCTTGGGGCGGTTTTGGGGCATTTTTGGAGGATTTTTGGAGCGCTCACCCCGGAGGGAAGGAGCTCCTCCCGCTCTGCCGAAGGCGGAACTTGGGCTTTCCTAAGGCGAAGAAGAATCAGCGAATTTGAGGAAGAGCAAAGGCAGGGTAGAGGGTGGTAGGCACCCACCCAAAAATCCCAGGAAAAGACCCCCCGAAAGTTTGCGGGTGCAGCCCTGCACACGCTGCAGGGTGGGAAAAGTTGCGGAGTTTCCTCGCAGTTTTCACAGGGTCCTCATTCCCCGGGAGGGCTCCTGCCTCCTCCTCCTGTAAAGTTCGCAGAGCGAAGGGCTGGAATCAGGTGGATCTGAAATGGGTACGGGCACAGGCGTGTTAAACGTGTAACATAAACTACGGAATGTCTCGGGTATGACTAAGGAAATATTTTGTCTTTTCCTAGAGGTTTGGTAGATTTCCGTTTTCTGACTATCAAAGGTACCGTGCGCTTTCGTTTTTAGGTGCTTAAGGAGCTGTCAGCAGGTTAAGAAATATTAAATCTTCAGTGTGTTCTGCCTTGTGTGGGTCAGGACCCTTCAGATCTTCCTTTAAATCCTCCTCTGGCCTTCGTTTTTCTGCGTGTCTTCAGACCACATTGTATTGCTTGAGCTGTGTAGTCCTTAAGCCTTTTTTCTTTTCAAGCTCTGCTTCCCACATAACGAGATCAGAGGGTTAAGATGTGATTCCAGTGCTCAAGTTTTTGTCAATTTTAGCGTGGCAAATGGAATAGTGTGTTTTGGTAAGTAACAGCGAGAGTTTGGTGGTGCACAGCAGCCAGCTTGGCTTTATGTGATGCCTTTATTAGCAAGAGTGACTCAAAAGGAGTTCAAAGAGATGGGAGATAGGGAATAAAGTCATTCCAAACCCCTTCATTGATCACTGTTAGAAGTCTCCTTCTTGAGAACTGGTAGAGAAAAATCAGAGTTTTTAAAATTTATGTTTCTAAAGTGCTGTTGCTGCCTCAGGGGTGTGGAGGTTGAATGCCAAAGTTGCTGTTTTATTCTCAGTTTCAATTTTCTGTTCAGGTTCTGGCTGCAGTGGTACTTGAAGGCAGGGACTGGAGGATGGCACTCAGTGAAAAGTTGGGCTTTTTTTCTGCAGCCACGGGAGCTTGGCAGTTTGCTTAACAAAAAAGTAATTACTTCATAAATTCATGCTTGGAAGACCTCAGGACATTCTGATTTTTTTTTTGTCTTTAGACAGAACAGAATTAAAAATCTGCGTGGGTGGGAGCTGCTCTGTCAGGAAGGAGAGGGGACGCAGAATCTCCTGCTTGGGCTTGGAGCTGTCACCCTGCAGCTCTCCAGGCTCTCAGGTGCTGCAGGAGCTCAGTGCTCCTCAGAAAAACGTGGAAAGCTCTGACATCGTGGCAGGGGACACTGGGGATTTTTTAAGCAGGAGTAAATCTCCAGAAAACGTGCTTTTAAGTTCTTTTTTTGGGAGTTGAAAGGTAGCTAAGGGAGGGTTTGCGATTAAGACTCTGCTCTTTGAAGAATGACCGGTGAATTCCTTTAATTATTTTCTTAGGTAAAACCTTGCACGGTTCTCCTCTGATTAATTAGCAAATGGGATTGATTTCAGATTTAGTGACCTTTAAAAATTAAAATCAACTGTAATACTTGGGCAGGGACTCTTCTGCCTGGCCAGAAGAAGTTTGTCAGAAAAACTTACTCAAGTTTCTAAAACTTTGTTGCCTTCCTGTGCGGAGAACCCTGGGGCTATGTGTGGGGAAATTAGGGAATGTGACATGTGGAAATTAGGGAATGTGATATGATGGGTGCTATTGCCAAAGGAAGATTAAAGTTGCTGCTCCCTCAGAAAAACAGTGGTCAGTCATACTTGCCACAATTTTTCATGGAGTTTTAATCATGAAATTGCCTTTCCTGTAATGTATTTCCTTACCACAAACGAGAGCCTTTCAGCCTTTTTTGCCCCTATTTTTGTTTGTTCTGTGTGTGTGGGGGAATCAGATAAGGTGAAACCTGGCTTTGCAGATCCCGGCCTTGTGAGGGTCCTGAATTCCTGACTTGGGAAGGTTGGGGTAAATTGAAGCAGTATGTTTTCCTTTCTGCTGCTGAAACAAGGGAACTGCAAAGTTTGTTCTGCTGAGTTCTCCCTCACTCCATAGGCTGAGGCATATATGAATTTTCCTGATCTTAATTACTATTCCTGTCTAATTGCACCCAGACTCTAATTTATCTCAAGGTAAGCTATTTAAAGCTCTTTCTAATTGGAAGGAGTATACTTGAGTGATTAAATCTTTCCTTCAATATTTCTTACATCTCTTTAAATTGGTTATTAGATTGTTGTGATCTTCGCCTTCCACTCCAGCATTTTGGAAATCATTACGCAGTTTGCAATAATCAATTCAATTAAGCACGGATCAAAGAATGAAAAAGAAAAGCTTATGTTCAAGTATTGTCATTTTTGATACTGTCCTAAGAAGCCGGTTTGGAAAGCACATGCTGGGAGGTTTTCTCCTTTGTTCTCTCTCCTTTTAAGAAAGTGCCTTTGGGGATTGAAGAGATCCCTGGTGTGTTTCTTGTTAGACATAATTTATACTTTAAAAATAAAAAAAAAAGAAAAAAAGTGAGCCAAGAGTTTGAATGAAAATTCATCACAGCATTTCCACACAATGGTGAGGAGCACAAACCACTTAGAAATATTCTCAGCTGGGAAAGACCCCTCCCTGAAATCCAGGGAAGCAGTTTTGGGATAACAGTGACAAATGGACCTGTGGAATTTCATCCCTAATTTTAATAAACATAATCTACCTGTTTCAGTGTTCAATTAGAATTTTACACTTCTGCATTACGAGCTCTTTCTCCTTAATCCTTTTATAAGTTGCTGAGGTTGTGTGTTGCTGAGATTAAAGTAAATATAATCTACTTTTCATTGTTAGCTGAGCCCGTGGATTACGTTTGTTCATGCTCTAATTTGCTGTGTGCCTGCAGAATTGTATTTTTCACTGATTTTTGGGTGAGTATCTTTTTTTTTTTGAGCTTTTGGTCATCGACACTGGGGTTGCAGATATCAGAGGGTTAAAATTGGAGCTGTCCAAGCCTCAATCCATAAACCTTTTTTATTGCCAAGAAACCCCAGATTGTTGCATGCAGATAAATTCAGTGCCAGAGAACTTTGGGTAAACCTTCCCCATCCTGGGAGGATCTGTGGGTCTGTGCAAGTCAAATTCATCAAGGAGGAAAGTATCACCAGCATTTCATAGCAGTCATTTTTAATGGATTTACAGACGATTTCCTTTTGGTTATAAAGTTATTTAAAAATCCCAGTTAGGAGGAGGTAGGAGATGCACCTTATTCAGCTTTATTGAACGAGAAAAATGTTCCTGGAGGGAGGAGACGTGCTCAGGACTGCCTGGCCATTGGGAAGAATATTCATAGATCAGGCACACCAGAGAAATAGTTAACAGCAGCCCACGAGCAGGGTGTTGGGAGCTGGGATACCTCTGATATTGAAGTTATTTATAGGGATGGAGGCTCTGAGTGCTGTGCTTTATACCCTGCCCTGCATCCAGCAGAGCCCAGGGAGGGCAGACTTGTCCCTAATGCGTTTGGCAGGGTGGGATGGAGTTCCTGGAATCCCTTCTCGGGGAAATCAGCCTCTCATCAGTTCTCTCCTCAGTGCCATTAGAGTGAAAACCAAACCAGAGCTTCAGGCACTGGAGAGTGGAGTGCTCCCTGTAATTGTTCTGAGATAGCCCCAGCCCTCCTTGCTCTGGAGCATCTCCTGCAATTCCTGTTTGTCCTAAAGCTTGGAGTGATTTGGGGGCTCACCCTTTGGAGCATCCCCTGGAATTCCTGTTTGTCCTAAAGCTTGGAGTGAGTTGGGAGCTGACCCTTTGGAACATCCCCTGGAATTCCTGTTTGCCCTAAACCTTGGAGTGAGGTGAGGACTCACCCTTTAGAGCATCTCCTGCAATCCTTGTTTGTCCTAAAGCTTGGGGTGAGTTGGGGGCTCACCCTTTGGAGCAGCTCCTGCAATTCCTGTTTGTCCTAAAGCTTGGGGTGAGGTGCGGTCTGACCTTTTGGAGCATCCCCTGGAATTCCTGTTTGTCCTAAAGCTTGTTGGGAGCTGACCTTTTGGAGCATCCCCTGGAATTCCTGTTTGTCCTAAAGCTTGGAGTGATTTGGGAGCTCACCCTTTGGAGCATCCCCTGGAATTCCTGTTTGTTCTAAAGCTTGGGGTGAGCTGGGGTCTGACCCTTTGGAGCATCCCCTGGAATTCCTGTTTGTCCTAAAGCTTGGGGTGATTTGGGAGCTCACCCTTTGGAGCATCCCCTGGAATTCCTGTTTGCCCTAAAGCTTGGGGTGAGCTGGGAGCTGACCCTTCAGAGGATCCCCTGGAATTCCTGTTTGTCCTAAAGCTTGGAGTGAT